GATGTAAGCGCCTCCAGAAGCGGAAAAGGGAAGGAACACGTCTTCCCCTGGGGCTTCTGGAGGGAGGGCGGCCGTGCCAGCACCTTGAGTTTACCCCTGAGACTCTCGCCTGCGGAACCGGACCAGCACCCACGCGTCGGGTGCTGTTGATTCAGTGCAGTGGTGGCAGACACCTGCGCCGCATCCCTGCCTCCGCTTTCCCTCTGGAGCTCACGGCAGTCAGAGGCCCACACACGCCGCTCCCCCTTCTCCGCGTCTCTTCCCCTCCCCCACCGCGCGCTGCCCCAAACCCAGGGTAGTGGGGTCCTTCCACACCCCACGGTCCCTCCCCTGTCGGAGCGCGCCCCTTCCTTCAGATCTCAGTCCCCAAGCGACCTGCTCCGCTCTGGGAAGCCGCTCCTGGTCTTCAGGTCGGAGGCGCCCGGGGTCCCTTCTTGACACTGAGTCCAGGGGTCCCTCCGGAGAGCCCTGTGTGACTGTGTTCTGAGTCTGTCTGTCCCCGGGCCTGCACGGCGGTGACGGCAGCAGCCCAGTGACCCTGCGGGTCTGTGCGCCCGTCTGTCTGCGGCCCCTCGCTCCCCCCATAAACAACCGCTGGGTGAAGGAAGCAAGCGGGGAGGGTACTGCAGTGCCCTGAACTTGGTGTCCCCTCTGCGTTCGTGGGCTGGAGCTTCTCTGTCGCAGGATGGCGTTGGAAGCGGGCGTCTGCAGGTGACAGGGCTGGGGGAGGTGAGAAACCGTTGACCGCACGGTCTGCATATTCTGCCGCAGCTGTGGGACGGGTCTTCTCCGAGCCCTGAGCTTGGCGCTGAGTTGAAGCTGGTGCCCCTGGACTGAACGCCGTTTCCCACTCCAGAACGTTCTTGAGCCTGTCCCTCAGGCTCGGGTAACGGTCCTGCGGACTCACTCCCGGCAGCTGCTCTCCACCGTGTCATGGTCTCAATGGGTGGTGGCCGCCTCCGGCTGGACCCAAGTACCTTCGTAAGCAGGAGAGGAGGGAGGGTCGGCAGGCGTCGCTCTGGGACCCTCCCTGAACCCTTGACCCAACATGTCAGGAAGCAGGGAAGGAGGCGTGTGTACCTCCTTGTGGGGCCCCTGGGGGGACAGTGGGGTCAGCTGAGTCATCATAAGCGATAGAAACTCACCTGGATCAGGCTTAAGCAGAAGGGGGGGATCTACTGGCCCGCGCACGAGGGGCTTCGGGTAAGACTGTTGGGTCAGCTCGCGCTGTGCAGTGCGAAACGCCGGCTGGGGTCGCGTCTCCCTGTCCCGCAGGCTGGCTGGCCTCAGCGGGCCCTTCTCAGTCCTGGCGTCACACAGCTGCTGTCAGGGAGCGGCCAGGCCTGGGGTCCCCCGCAGGCTCCCTCCCTCTCGCTCTGGCACCTCTGTGCTCGCGTGTGTGGCCCAGACTTCCGCGCCGGCTCAGAGCTCAAGAGGGAGAGTGGAAGCTGCAGGACAGGGAGTGCAGCTGGGGCTGGGCCAGGGGTCACTTCTGCTGTCCCCTCTGTGTCGAGTCAGGCCCGGGGCAGGTGGGGAATTTGGCTCTGAGGATTGGTGGGTAAGGGGGGCGGGTCACATGACCCGGACGCAGGTGGGATGGGACATATCGCAGCTGCTTTGGAACACTCTGTGTCAGGCTGAGCGCAGGTGTTCAGACTCTGCAGAACACACACGCCCCGCGCTCGGAATCCTCAAGAAGGCACCCGGGTGTGAGACTGCTGGTCCAGACCCTGGGCCCAGCAGTGACTCTGATGGATGTCTCCCGGAGATCACCCGGGGTGTGTGGGAGGTGCCACCCAGACTGGAGGACACCGGGGTGGGCAGGATGACTCGGCTCTCCCAGGGCACACAGAGGTGCAGCTTCTGGGCGAGGGCACCTGGATGCCATGCCAGCCACAAGGCCTACAGGTGGCTGCACCCTCTCCACTCACAGCTGCTTGGGTCCACTTTGAACCACCGGCGTATGGGACACCGTGCTGAGTCCCTGGGCCTGGGTAGGGCTGCTCTTCTACCTGGGAAGTCCCCCTGCCCCACCCCTGCCAGCTGCCCTCCCACCCACCACAGAGCAGCAGAGAGGACAGTGTGTTCACCAAGACTTCCTCGCGTGGCCTGGGGCTTTGCTGTGTGTTCATTTCTTGCCGCAGTTCTCGAGAAGCTTTGTAGTTTAATTCCAGGAGCGTGTGCTCCCCGAAACACAGGCGGTCTCCGGGACAGAATGGAATGGAGCAGTAATTACTGCAGCCCGCCTGCCCAGTTCCAGTCCTGCCTGTCGTCTGCTGTGTGGCCTCTCTGTGCCTCGGTTTTCCCACCTGTAAAATGGGGACACCGATCACACCTGCTTCACAGGGTTGTTGGAAAGGTTAAGAATTAATACGAGTGCGAGTCTTGGAGCAGTCCTCCTTACTCCTGGGAATTTCCCACTAAATGCTGGTGATGGTGCCTGTCTTTATCGGGTGTTCTCCCATAGTAAGGACGTGAATTCCTTGACTGTCAGATGTATCACACAAAGCTTTTTCTCCCCTGGATTGCCAGTTGCCCTTTGACGTTGTTACGGTAAATTATTTGCCTTGCAGAATTTTGTATTTCTGCACTCGATCGCATCTGTCTCTTCCTGCCGCATCTGGACGATGTTTTTCTTTTCTTTTTCTGCGTCTTGTTGAGAAAGACCTCTCTTCATTTTTTCTTTCTGGATAGACTCGGATTTAATGCTCATAGGAAGAAAGAAGTGGGGAACCAACTTGTCAGTCATCACACTCACTTCTTTTCCCTTCCGCTGTTTCTTCACTGTGTTGATGGCCTGCGCACCTGCGGCCGCACTCCTGGGGGCTGCTGGACTTCAAGGCTCCTTGTGAGCTCCTGAGACTCTGGGAAGACGTGAACGGATGTTTCAGGATAAAGCTATTCCCCAGATAGGAGTGATTATTGTGCAGGTTACGTGGGCAAAAACGAAATGCTCGTTTACAGGCAGTGTCACTGGCCTCGTGTCCACCCTTAACTAACGCCAAACTGACTGCCTTCTTTTTCTTTTACTTCCTGGACAGAAAGACATTGGGCCAAGATGGGATTGAATAAAAGGAATTTCTAAACGCATCAAAATACTTGGAAAAAATTAACTTCCATGAATCCTCCGGGAATTCGTTTCATAACAAAAATTATGAAATGCATGTGTTCGCTTCCTGGGGAAACGAGTTGTTTCTGAGAGCGGGGAGGCTCGGGGGGAGGCTCGGTGGCAGGGTCACGGTTCGCACTGGACTCTGGTCCCAGGGTGCCAGGTGGGGAGGGGCGGCTGGGTCCTGTGCCGGCAGCGGGCTCCGGGGAGGGTCCCGGGACCCCTGCCACCTCTGAGCAGCCTTCCATCGCCAGTCCCGTCCTTCAGGGAACTTGGGGGGCTCTCTACTTTCCTCGGGAACCCTAAGCACACGCCCCTCTGAGGTGGGGTTGTACTCTAGCTTCTCAGAGGTCAAGAAAGGTCCACGCCTCTGCCAATTATTTTGAAGTTCCTCTTATATTAAAGAAAAAAATGGAGAAATTCCAATCTGGGGTTATTAAATTATGCTTTTCTACACGCTTCTCACGAACCAAATTAGGGCTCGGAGCCCACAAAACATGATACAGTCTTATCGTCACAAGACAACAGTTTGTAACAGACGTGTCAGTCCATAAGGTGTCACAGTACAGGTGGTTGGTTCTGTGTGATGGAGCGTGTCAGCTGATTCGGGGACTCAGGCTGTGTCCGTGATCTCATTTGAAGATAAGACCCGAAGTCTAAGTTTGGTGCCATTTGTATAAGTAAGGCCCAGGGCGAAGGGCCCTCCACTGTCTTCAACCCCCGAGTCACAGGCTGGTTTTGATCAACTCTGGGCACTGTCCTCTCCCGCGTGGGCCAGACTGGGCGGGGTGGGGCCGCCAGGATGATGTTCAGCTCCCACGTGAGGTTCACCCAGGTTGCTAGGGTAGCACTCACCCATGTGCATGCTCTCTGTCTGTCTCTCATGCGTGTACACATGCACACACACAGACTTGTCTCAGATGCAAGGAAAGGGTAAATTTCACTGCAGCGAGCCCGGCAGGATAGAAGCGGTTAGAGGTCGGAAAGGCGGTGATGGGCAGCCTGACGTGCAGAGGAGCCTCCGGCCAGCTCCGGTCCCTGTATCCCCTCCCCGAGGAGCCCGGTACCCAGGCCTGCGAGGTGACTGTGGGACAGGGTCTTTGCTGCCCCCTCTGTGACTCTGTTGGAAATTACTCTCCTAAATGTCAAAACCCTTAAAAGCGGCCCCCGCCTTTGACTGGAAGTTCCCCACTAGGACCTTATCCTAAAGGATAGAATCTGACACGTACCTGGAGGTTGAGCTTCTGGTTCTGCCTGAAGAGTGAGAAGTTGAAGGAGCCCGAGCTGCCCTGATTTAGAATGTGACGCCATGCAGACACGCGGCACGATGGTGTGCGGGTGTGTTTACGGACCTCGGAGGAAGCTGGTGATGCAAGGAGTGTTTTAGGATGTGGTCTATAAGCCTGTGTGCATGGACTGGTTCCTTTCTTTGTAAAATATGCTTGCAGGAAAGGTTGTAGCAGGAGTTGCCATAAAGATGCTTCTGGACCAAGAGGAGGAGTGAGCATAGGACGGTGCCTGTTATCGGTGTCTGTGAAGTTGGCGATCACTAGGTTTAGCTCGGATGGGAGCTCGATGCTGGTCTGGTGACCTGGGACAAACAGGCCTCAGTGTCCTCATTTGCATAGGTGGAATGATAACGGGGTTGCCATGATGTTGAAAGAGATAATTCGCTCAGAACTCTTGGGAAAGTGTCCAGCCCTTGGTGAGCTTTCCATAAATGTGGTCTGTTGTCATTTCCCGTGTCTCCTGAATTGAACATGTGTTGTCTCTAGAAGGGGGAAAAAGGCTTTTCACATGGAGAGTAAGGGGCAGAGAGAACCACCTGCTTCTGGGGAGGAGTCCCTTCTGCTGTCCGTCAGTCCTGACCCTGTCCCCTTCCTTCCCTCAGGGGTCACGTTTTCTTTCTTCTGGAAGACACAAGGAGAGGCGTCCAGACCGACCCCTTTTGCTTACGGGGGACAGGTCATTTCCGACGGTTTCAGAGTCTGCTCCAGCGGCGGCAAGGGCTCCGTGGAGCTGTACACGCGGGAGAACGCCATGACCTGGGAGGCCACCTTCAGTCCGCCAGGTAAGGGCCGGGCCTGGCCTCGGCACTCAGGGCTTGCTGGGGGAGATGGACCGGAGAGGACGGCGTCCTGCAGCCAGGCGCCTGTGCTCCCTCCACCCCCGCTGTGTGCCTGCCTCGGGTTGCCTGATGCGTGGCCTCTGCTGCCGTGTCCTAGAGGGAAGGTGCCGTTGGGACGTGCCCTGCGTGGCCCAGGGACGTGAAATGCGGTAGTGGACACCAGGTGCTTAGCATGGTGGCCACTGTTTCTAGTTCTCCCTCCCTCCCTCCCTCCCATTCCCTCCTCTCTCTCTCCTTCCCTTCTCTTCCCCTTCTCCTCTCCTCTCCTCCCCCTCATTGTTCCCCTCCTCTCCCCCTGCTGCCTCTTTCTTCTTCTCCTGCTCCCCCTCCTTCCCATGCCCACCCCCCCAAGTGGTAGGACTTAGTGGTAGGCAATATTTAGAATATGCTGTGAAAATTTTTTGGAACAGAGGCTGAAGACTGAGGGAGGAAGGGTGATATGGAGGAGAGGACTGGGAGCGGTGGGGAGGGGTGCTCTGGGACAAGTGCGGGGCAGCAGGCGGCTGTGGAGATACTGGGGGTTTTGCAGGTGGGTGTTGTGGGGTCTTCCTGGCTCCGTCTGGAGATTCCTGTGTTCTCTTTGGCATGAGATCGGGTTGTGCACTGGGCACGAGTCAGAGGCCTGGGGCAGGAAGGTGGGGGAGCAGAGGGTCTGACTTGGAAAGTGGACTTGGGAGAGAAGTATTGGGGTAACGTTGAGGGGGACCCCAGTCCGGGCCGGGCACTAGGAAGGAAGCATGGAGCGGGAGGTGGGAAGAACGAAGGCCTCCAGCAGGAAATGATATCTCTGAGATATTCAAGGACAATTCATTTTCTGGCCCATTTAAAGAGGCTGTGTGTCCCAGTTATTTAAGACATGGACGACGCCGGATCCCAAGTGGCTGGGTCGCACCCTCCTCTGCACCCGCCACCTGTGTGAGCTGGGAGCCTTACTCGTTCTCCCCAAGCCTGACTCTCCACCTTGCCTCTGCAAGAGCGCTACGAGAATCGTGCCTATTTGCTTTCTCTGATCCCAGGCCAGAAAGACTCTCGGCCCCCTCCCCCCCACAGAACAGCCTGTACCTCATTCATGGCACTTACCATGTTCTACCCAAGTCAGGTTCTTCTGCAAGAGTCTTATTTCCGTGCTGCTTGGGGCTGACACATTATGGGGCATGTGGTAGGTTTCCTCAACATGTCCTAAGGTAAAGCCTATCGAACTCTGTTTTCCCACCCAGGGAAATGGGAAGAATTGTAAACATTTCTGCCTGGAGACATACTCTCTGTTCACTGAAGAAATCTGTTATTCTTGCTTTAAACTCAAAGGCAATAAATAATACTTTGGACCCATTTAGGACCCAAGTGCTCTCCAGAGACTCAGGATTAGGAAGCGGCCCAACCCTAGGTAAGGGCCTGAGTAATTGCTGGGTGGTGAGGGACTGGTTGACTGATAGACATTTATCTTTTTATTTTTATTTATTTATTTATTTTTAAAGATTTTATTTGTTTATTTGACAGAGATCACAAGTAGGCAGAGAGGCAGGCGGAGAGAGTAGGGGGGAGCAGGCTCCCTGCTGAGCAGAGAGCCCGATGTGAGACTTGATCCCAGGACCCCGGGATCATGACCTGAGCCAAAGGCAGAGTCTTAACCCACTGACCCACCCAGCTGCCCCAGAACTTTATACTTCTTTAAAAATTATTTTATTTTTCATCATGATAAGTGTACTTTTTAATCCCCACCCACCCAACCCCCAACCCCTTCCCCTCTGGTAACCACTCATCTGTTCTCTATAGTTAAGAGAACAAATCCCACGTGAGTGAGATCCTACAGTATTTGTCTTTCTCTGACTTATTTCCCTTAGCATTAGATTCCCCAGCTCCAGCCCTGTCATTGCAAGAGGCAAGATTTCACATTTTTTATGGCTGAGGAATATTCTGTCATATGTACCCACCACGTCTGCTTTCTCCGCTCAGTCCATGGACACGGGAGCTGCTTCTGTGGTTAGGCTGTTGTAGACGATGCTGCCATCAGCAAGGCTGCACGTAGCGCTTTGAATTCATATCTTTGTATTCTTTGGGTAAATACCCAGTAGTGCGATTGCTGGATTGTAGGGTAGCTCTATTTTCAACTTTCTGAGGAACCTCCATGCTGTTTTCCAGAGTTGCTGCACCAGCTTGCATTCCCACCAACAGTGTAGGAGGGCTCCCCTTTCTCCGTGTCCTCGCCAACACCTGTCGTTCCCTGTGTTGCTGATTTTAGCCATTCTGACTGGTGTGAGGTGGGATCTCACTGTGGCTCTGATTTGCATTTCCCCGATGATGAGCGATGTTGCACATCTTCTCATGTGTCTGTTGGCCATCTGGATGTCTTCTCTGGAGAAGTGATGGTTCATATCTTCTGTCCATTTTTAAAAATTGGATTATTTGTTTTGGTTGTTGAGTTGTATCAGTTCTTTATATACTTTGGGTACTAACCCTTTATTGGATACGTCATTTGCAATTATCATCTCCCATTCCATACGCTGCCTTTTGGTTTTGTTAGAGGTCTCCTTTGCTGTGCAGAAGCTTTTATTCTGGTGATGTTCCAGTAGCTAATTGCTGGGTGATTTAAGGTGATGCCTGGCTCACGGTGGCACACACCCTTTGAAGGGCTGCCCTGCTCCTTCCAGAAGCAAGCCCATGAGATGCCTAAAACAACACTTGCCAAACAAAGTGAGGCCATTTGTGGGGCAAGCTGCTGTCAGAGTCTAAGGAACAGTCTTCTTATTGGCGACTGTGGTTCTCGTGCCAAAGAGAGTGAGCCGGGAGGGTGGTGCTACCGTGGTCCCACCATATTGGTTGATATCACATGTCCTATGTCAGAGCAGAGGTGGACACCAACTGCTGTGGGCTGAATCAGGCCCACAGATAAGTTTTATTGTCAGATAAGTTTTATTGACCTGCACTGTGATGGCCTAGGCAGGACCAAAAAATTTTTTTGAAAAAGTTATGACCGTTGGCTATTATTTCATTTTAATTTAGAATAACAAAGGATCTAATTTAAAATAGCAAAAGGTCTCTTTGGACTGCTTCTGGAGTTTTAGGGATAGACGTAATTTCTTCCCTCTGCTTCTTTCTGAGGAAAAGTCAGATGTACATTCTGACCCATGTGAGGACTCACCAAGGTCAAGAGTGACTAATCATCTCAAGAGGCAGGTGCTTAACAACTAGGAGACACACACATGGGGAGCTCTTTCCACATCAGCAGAACAGTGATCTTTGCTCTTTCTAGGTCCCTACTGGACTCATGTCCTGTTTACATGGAAATCCAAGGAGGGTTTGAAAGTCTACGTCAACGGGACCTTGAGCACCTCTGACCCAAGTGGCAAAGTGTCTCACGCCTATGGGGAGCCTGGCGTCAACCTCGTGATAGGGTCTGAGCAGGACCAGACCAAGCGTTATGAGGACGGAGCTTTTGATGAGTTCATCATCTGGGAACGTGCCCTGACCCCGGACGAGATCTCCATGTACTTCACAGCTGCCATTGGTTAGTGGGCATGTGGGGGAGGGCTTGGGCCAGCTCTGCCCATCTCTGGGAGGACGAGGCTCCTTCTGTCCACCTCCCTTCCCAGCACGTCTCGCTCCTCACTCTCCTGAGGCGGCCGTCTGCGCTGCAGGCAGCGAGACATCCTGATGAACCTCAGAAATCCAGCCGCTTCTCCAGAACACCTGTTCCCTAAGATGGAGGAACTGGCAACTTAGAGGAGAGACCCTGAGAGGAGTATCCTACGGGTCACCGGGGGGTTTTGAGGTGTACGTGGTGGGTGATGATGGACAGCTTTGGGAGCAGACATTCCAGGCCCATTAGTGCATTCGATCAACAAAGGTTTAGCCAGTGCTTCCTGCGTGCCAGACCCTGATGGGGCCCTGGGAGCCCCGAGGATGCCCCTTCTTGCTCAGTACAGAGTGGTTGTTCAGAGACGGGACCCGAGGGACAGGGAGCCTGGGTTCAAATCTTCCCTCAGCCTCGATGAGCCATGGGACTTAGGGGTCACCTCTGTTGAGGTAAAATTCAGGGAACAGAAACGCAACCATCTCAAGGTATACAGTCCCCTGGTACCTATTGTGCTCACCACATTGGGCAGCTGTCCTTTCTGGTTTTAAAACCGTCTCTTCACCCAGAAAGGAAGTCCAGTACCCATTACCTCTTGCTCCCTGTGTCCTCCTCCCAGCCCGTGGCCGCCACTGATCCTTCTTCTGGGTCTTCCACATACACGGAATGGTAGCAAGTGACTTTTTGTGTCTTAATCATTCCAAATCACAACATTCTCCTTTGTAACTGGGAGGAAACTGCGGGATGGGGGCTCCGCGGATAGACAGTGACCGGGGTAAGGCAGTGCACGTGGCAGGTTTTCCCAACACTTTCACTGTTTTAAGATTAATACTTCCTTTCCCTTCATTCGTTTTCATTCTTCCAACAGCTGAACACACTGATTCTTTATTTTAACATAAAATAATCTGCCAAAAAATAACAGTCGTTCATAAACATCCGTTGGTTGGCCACTGCGCTGACAGCAGGGATATGTCAGGACCAGGAGGTGGAAAGCCAGCCTCCCCTCGGGGTCCAACAGTGAACCCCTCAGCTGTTAGGACCCTGTGATTACATGACAGAAAACACAACTAAAGTGATTTACGGCAAGAAGGGAATTAAACAGTCTCACACAATGGAAACAATAGAAGAACATCTGCTTCAGGACCAGTTTGCTCTAGGTGCTCACATGTATCACTAAGAGTGTTTGTGTTTGATGCTGCTCCTTCTTGTGATGCCAGCATGGCTGCCATTCCCTCTATGTTCCCTCCCCATCCTCAGCAGAAGGCGAGAGCTTCTCTTTTTTGCCATCTCCCGCAGCAGGGCTGCCCAGGACTCTCATGTGGCCCGAGTGATCCCTGTGTTTCCCTGGGGGCCAAGCCCTGTGCCCGGGGGCTGCCGAGTACGCTGATGGCCTGAAGCCTGGGTCATTGTCTGCCTCTGGCAGAGGCAGTCATGACAGTGGGGTCAGCTGCATCTGCAACTTAGAGGAAAGGGGACCCCCAGCGACTGAGGCTGCGGCTCTTGGGAGCAGGGCACAGCTGCTGTGCGTGCAGGATGTCTCTGTCCACCCCCGTCTTTGAAACACCCGTTTTTCACTGAGAAGGTAGAATTCATTCCTTATACATAAGTGACATAAGGACCAAATATAGGTCCTGTACAATACAAAAGATATTAATCTCCTGCATTTCATAGCCTAAGATTCAGAGATTTGTCCCTTTGAGACCAAGATGCTGTCTGTATTTGTGTTACTGAAAGCCTCCAACAAACCCTGGTTTCCTGATACTTTACCGCTTTATTAACCCTGGAAAGAGATGTCGCTGTTCCTGGCTCCTGCAGCTGTCTCAGCAAACTCGTGTCCCCAGGACATCCCAGGGCTCGGATGGGGAGCACCAGCCCCACACAGCACCGCATTTCAGGCCACGTTGCTGTCTGTGCCCTGTGAAGGTGGTGTCTGAGTTTGGGGGTGATTCAGGAGAGGTGTTGCCTTAACCCTTATGTGTCCCAGAAGCACATGCATGCATCTTTGCTAAACCAGAACTAGACTTATCACACCCCATGTTGCTTGGGGACTTGGTTCTAAGGACTGGGCATGTGACATAAATCACATATAGAGAAAATGACCAGAAGTCTCTCGGACGGCCGCATCCAGCCGTCCATCAGAGCCAGGTTTAACATAGCTGTAATAATTTATGATTAATTAACCAAATAGAGGAGAAAGAACTAGAATCCTCAGGGTCGAAGGGACTCGAGAGAACAGTCTTCCCCACCCCCGCCACTTCATCTCACTCCATCTGTCTGGGAGGGAAAGCTTGACTGGACGGATTGTTTGTCCTCGCCCAAGACTAACAGCCCTCTGTGTTCCATCCCCAGCCGGTCCTGATGCGGTGAGGATGATTTCTTCTGGTTCTCTATTTATTTGAAATCGGTAAATGCTTGTATAAAATCATCGCTTTATATGATGACTTGCATGAAGGGTGTTCAAAAGCAATTTGAAACATAAATAGGAAAGTAATGTGACCTGGGAAAATCCATACCATCTGCCCATTAAGCTGATTTATTAGCCGTTCATCTTTCCAGCAGCATCGCTACTCAAAACATTCTCAGGCTGTCTTGGATGTGTCTGAAGCTGGAGAGTCCTGAGTAAAGACAGGCCTTCCTTAGGGTGAAAGACGGACCATGTTTCAGTCCCTAATCAAGCGTTACTGATTCTTTCCAGGAAAGCATGCTTTGTCATCTTCAACACCACCAAACGTCTTCATGACACCCCCAGCCAATACCGTGGTAAGCACACGCATTGATCTCCGTCCCCCTGCTTGTTGAAGCCCTTCCGCTTAGCCTGTGTGCCAGGACCGAATTCCACTGGACAGTCTGGCTCTCTCTTCTTGGCAGTATAGTGTCTGGGAAGAAATCAGCCCTGGAGGGGAAGCTAGCTTTGGCACTAACTCTGGATGCTCAGGTTGACGGAAGGGAAAGCCCTCTGCTTCTTGTGGTCTGTGGCCTCAGGGGCCAAAAGGAAGTCAACCAGAGTGCCCAGGGACACAAACACTGAGACTGTCTCCGGGGCACGCGGCACAGTGAGCGGAGAGAAGGGGGAACCTGTGCCGAGGGTCGTTTTCTCTTCGTGCCCCTTCTCCCGACGTTTGAGGGAAGATCAGTCCATACAGAAACGATCCCTTCTGGAATTAGTACTTGTAATCCCACCGCTTTCCCTTCCTTGGGGACTCTAAGGGAAAGGGAAGGCACAGACTCTCGTACCTTTGGTGCAGGTTCAAACGCCGGTTCCACGTGTATTTCTGGGTAAGCTTCCCTGTGCTTGGTTTCATCTCTCAAATGGGTGCGTATTTCTTTGAAGTTGCTGAGACGGTGAAAGCTCAGTCTGTGTCAGGCATTCGCGGAGGTGCCTCCGGTACACCGTCGGCGCAACCGCCGTCGTCGAGGGGCTGTAAGAGGGCACGCAGGACTTCCATGGGACTTCTCGGCTTTCGTCCCGGGCTGGCATCATGCCTGTCATTTCTTCCAGGTGCCCACCAACGCTTACCATCCCGTCATAACCAACTTGACAGAGGCGAGGAAAAACTTCCAGAGTCCAGGAACCATCCTGAGCTACCTGCGAAACGTGTCCCTCAAATTACCCAATAAGCCTCTTTCCCAGGAAATGGCACTGAACCTCACCCAGGTAAAGCTACTTGATTTCTGTGCCTGGCTGGTCGGGGCTGGCAAAGCACCAGATCCTGACCCACAGGCGTGTTTTGTTCAATCTGCACAGAGTTGTAGGAAGTCAGGAACTCTTACGTGACAGTCTGGGTTCCAGACTCGTCATGAGCCACTGGGTAGGGTGGTCTGTCCTGCCAGCTCCGTCCAACTTGCTGGGGCTTCCTTCAGCTCTGCCCCGGCTCCTTGTGGCTCCCGTCTCCACACCCGCCCAGCCGCCTGCCATCTGGGCACGCAGCTCCAGTTCCAGCTCCACTGCCTCCCTTGGCGACAGGTGAAGGGTGGGACTGGGTCTTGGAAGGTGTAGCCGCGGGAAACTAGACCACATCTGCACACATTGTGACCCACAGTGCTGTGACTTACAGGTCAGTGGGAATTGCCAAGTTCACCTAAAACACTTAGTGAATGTGCCATTGATGGCATGGAATCAAGGTGCTGCCACTTCTCGCTCTCCTCTAAACACCCTCCAGGTCGAGGTAGAGGGTCCCTGGCGGGTAGAGGGGGAGCACCAGGGTTCTGGGCCAAGGTGGAGAGAGAAGTTCCATCTGAGCGGGTTCCTCCCAGAAAGAACAGATTACAGGTCCGAGCAGGGTGCAGAGGGCTGAACGTCCCTCAGTGGTTCCTTGTCCTGTGTCCTCGGTCTCTGCCCTGCTGTGATGTGGGGGAGACAACAGGATACTCAGCTTGGGGGATCCGCATGCATTCATGTGCGCTGATGACAGTGGTGTTAGGTGAGTGCTCTGGAAGGCTTGCTGGCAGAAGGCAGACCTGAGGAGCACGTGAGAAGATGTCCTGGGTGCCCAGGAGCCCCGAAGAGGAAGGAGGGCCCCACTCGCCTTCCTGCCCCTGTGTGTGGGGTGGGGGAGATGTGGCTTCTCAGGTGTTTCCATCCATCCCCAAACCCTGCCCATCTCTGATTTGATGAGAAATAATATCCATGTAATTTCCATGTACTGGCTTCCCACCACTAGCAACTGGACAGGAAAATGGTGAGAAGTCATTTCCTGCGCTGGGTGATAAGGGGCCTGTTAGCCACATCTGGCTGGGGAGTCTGTGAACTGTGGTGAAATCAAGTCAGATGTGAGATGTGAAATCCGGCTCTAAAGACTTTTTTTTTTTAAGACTTTATTTATTTGACAGGCAGAGATCACAAGTATGCAGAGAGGCAGGCAGAGAGAGAGAGGGAAGCAGCCTCCCTGCTGAGCAGAGATCCCGATGCAGGACTCGATCCCAGGACCCTGAGATCATGACCTGAGCCAAAGGCAGAGGCTTTAACCCACTGAGCCACCCAGGTGCCCCGAAATCCAGGCTCTAAATGGGACATATACACCGGATTCCTAACACTTAGGAGAAAGAGAAGAACACAAAATATTGAATTGACAATTTTGGTCTTGGCAATTTAGAAATATGGGGCCAAGAAAGACATAGAATTAGTTTGAAACATATAATTAGTAGAAACATAATTAGTTTCATTTGTTTGCTCTTTACTTTTTAAAATATGGCTACTAGAGGCATCCCAGGTGGCTTAGTCGGTTAAGCCCCAAGTCTTAGTTTGGGCTCAGGTCATATCAGGGTTCTGAGATCAGGATTCTCCCTCTCCCTCTGCCGCGCCCCACCCAGCAGGTGCATACATGCATGCAAACAAATCATATGGCTACTAGAAAATTTAAAAGTGGAAATGTGGCCGGCATTCTATTTTTATCCCACCAAACTGCTCTGCTGGAGTAGGAATCAGCAATTTATAGCCCTTAGGCCAGATCTGGTGTGTTGATTGTTTTCGTAATAAAGTTTTATTGGAATATGCTCATTTAGTTACAGTGGTCTGTGGCTGCATTTGCACTACAATGGCAGAGTTGAGTGTGACAGAGCTGTATGGCCTTCAAGCCTCAATACTTTACTAGGTGATCTTTCTTTCTTTCTTTCTTTCTTTCTTTCTTTCTTTCTTTTTTTTTTGAAGTGCTGACTCTTCTCCTAGATTATAAATTCTGCCCACTAGACCTCAAGCCCAGTATTTTGTTCGTCTTTTGTTCATAAGGTCTTGCCCTTCAGGGTCTTAATCAGCATTTATCAGATAAAGGCAATGAAAGAGTGAGGAGTTTTGAGGATGAATTCTCTAGATATTTGGTGCCTTAAAGTGTGAGGAAGAATGTGATTTATTCTGGAAATGGCAGTTTGGTGGAGATATGGGAGACTTCAATCGTGATCTAAGGTTTTGGTTTTTCTTTTAAGGTTTTATTTATTTATTCATAAGAGACAGAGAGAAAGAGAGAGAGAGAGGAAGAGAGACAGAGAGAGAGGGGGAAGCAGGTTCCGTGTTGAGCAGAGAGCCCAGTGCAGGGCTCCATCCCAGGACCCTGAGATCATGACCTGAGCCGAAGGCAGAGGCTTAACCCACTGAGCCATCCAGGCGCCCTGGTCAGGCTTAAAGTTTAATTCTGTGTCTATAGTAGGAGACAAACAGTTAAAAGGCGACATGAGGAATATGGACTGGACTAGGTGTCAGGCAATAGAGAGTGGTGAGGACTGGGGGGGATGGAGGAACACATATCTGACTAAGGGGGCCGCTCCCGCTTCACTTTGGCCAACAGTGGCCGTGTGGGACTGTGGGCTGGGGTGGCCTGAGCTTCTGCTCTTCTCCAAGGAAGCCGGAAATGCACATATTTTCATTTAAATCTCCCCACTTGAACATGTTAAAAGCTAATTTACTTTCTTTAGAACAGTGGTGAGCCAAACCGAACATGATGTTAAGCTGATCCGACCAAGGGTCTCCGAGTAACTTCTTTATGGAGAGGTGGTTTCCAGGGAGCACACATGGTTCTGTGTCACTCGGCTCCGCTACCCAAGGACGGCGCGTTCAGGGGCTCACGGTTCATTCACAGTTTCACTCAATAGGCAGTCCCGAGGGCCGCTTCTCTCTCCCGGCCCCATGCTTCGGGGTTTCTCTCTGACTAAGCTGTGTTCAGTCTGACATCTGTCTGCTTATCACTGACGAGCGGCTCGTCACAAGGAGTGAACAAGGTGACAGCTCTGAAGGACTTTGTAAAACATGACCTCTCGTGCTGATGGGAGCTGTTTGTCTTTATGACCGTATGTAAAACCCAGCCAGTGCTTGATAAGACACGGAGAAATCAAAGGTCTTGACATGTTGAGCATTAAGGATATGTGCTAAGCAGTGTCATTTTTTGTCTGCCTTTAGGTTTTCTTAAAGACCATGGGAGAGGTTCTTCAACTGCCCAGTTGGGTCGATGTGTCAGAGGTAAGGGGAAAAAAAAAGAACATTTTTGGTTGTCAAAATGTATGCACTTTGCCAACCACTGTGTCTTCCTAGAAGTGGTGTAAATATGGCCCAATTCACATTTCTGAGAGAAATGATGCACCTTCCAGTCTTGCCATCTGGGTCATTAGAGCTCATTTTGGCCAGATCTGCAACTGAGTTCAAGGGCCGTGTCTTCTGTGGGGCTCAGGAAGTGTGTGCGTGTCACTAATGTGTTATCCTTCCCAACTCTCAGCTGGGAAGTAGCTGCCTCTCTTCATGAGGAGTGTATACTAGGTTGACCTCTATTTATCATTTATTATTTTTTAAAATATTTAATTAATTTATTTAACATACAGATCACAAGCAGGGAGAGAGGCAGGCAGAGAGAGAGGGGGAAGCAGGCTCCCTGCTGAGCAGAGAGCCCGATGCGGGGCTCAATCCCAGGACCCTGGAATAATGACCTGAGCTTAAGGCAGAGGCTTTAACCCACTGAGCCAGCCAGGCACCCCTATTTATCATTTTAATAAAATATTTTTCATCATCACATTGTTCTTGAGTGGTAAGAAAAAAACATGTTTTATGTCTAAAGATCCCTAGATTAGGTGAAAAAAAAAATGGAACTTGTGATGATATGTTTCATGATCATAAACATAAAAACCAAAAAAAAAAAAACAAAACGTTTTCATTCCCCCCGAACTGCAAATAATTAGAAAGGAGAATGGAATATACTTTTTTCTTTTTAAAAGTAACTGCATTGACTCCACAACATGTAAATGAAACAAGTGTACGTGTTGTGGAGAAGGCAGGAACTGCTGATGACAAAAACTTTTAAAAAGAGCCGTCACCCGAAGCCCTAAGGCGGGCTGTGACCGTGAGCCCTCTCGGGTACGTTCCGTCCCACACACCGCTGTCGGATTTATTCCGGTTGTCTTTAGCTATGTGCAGGACGGTTTCCAGCGACAGGAGGCACATCAGGCAGCCCAGGCTAGGTTGTGCTGCGGCGACAGAGAGACCCCCGCATTTCAGTGGTGAAGCACAGTTGAAACTTCTTCTCACTCCTGCAAAGTCCCAAGTGGGTCCGAGGAGCCTTTCCTCAGTCCGTGAATTTGGGGTCCTGGCTCTGTCCGTTTTCTAATGATGTGGTCTCACCGCGTGACGTCCAAGGTTGCCCGGCAGGCTGGAGGACTCCAAGCTGCCTTGCTCAGCAGAGTCGCAGCCACACTGGTGTGGGATTGAAGCGCTCGTTCTCCCGAACCCCTCTGATGTTTGAACAGTATTTGGCAGTTCGAGGCAGAAATGCTGTTTGTGAGACTGCAGTAGGTTTTGTCTCTGGACTTTTTATTTGAACAGTTTCAAAAGGAACAAGATGCAATGAACATGGGCAAAGGGAGGAAGAAAAGAGGAGACCTGCCTTTAAGACTGGTACGGTCTTACCTAGAAACAAATTCTTTTTTAAAAAGGCACCACCCTCCACAGTCCACACCTTCCGGGGGGCACGGTGGGGAGTCTGTGTACAGGGGCGGGAGCCCTGGAAAATGGCCAGTGGAGGGCCTGAGTAGACCCATTTCATCAGCGTCATTTTAAAGTGACTTTCTCTGAATGCTGTGTCACAAGATATGAATAATCATGAAGCTCTTCAGACTCAGGTGGGCTGTAACGTGCCTTTGAGGGAAAGTATGAATCAGCTACCGCCCAGCAGAAGTGCACACCCGAGACGCAGATTTCCATGTGTTTGACTGTGCTCGGCTGATTGAAATCAGGCCACAGGCCTCAAAGAAAATGTCTAAAATTGGCCTCAATGCTCTCTTCCCAGCTATTAGATTCTCATGGCGTGTGCGTCTGTGAGAGAGCGCTAAGGATCCTTAGCAAACACACGCCTTCCAGAAAGGCGGGAAGGAGGGAAGGGGCCTGGCGGCAGAGAGGCGCAGCCACCGTGCCCCCGAGGGCCCGAGAGGCCCTGTCCCCAGTAGCGGTGTGTCTGATGATGGGGGCGGAGCTCAGTCTGAGCAGTCCGCAGAGATGCGGGGTGACCAGGAGGGACCCCTGCCTTCTTGGGGCAGCATCCACTGGGATCCTGTCCATGTTGGGGACTCAGAATGAGTGAAGAGGGCGCTTAGAGGGAAGGGGTGCACCAGGCAGGTCAGACGGGATGTGGGGTTCTGACAACTCCAAAGCATCCCTCCCCTGCATGGACGCTGGGATGAAGCTTCTGGTGTCCTTGTCCTGGAGGGGACTTGGGGACAATCAGCCCCCTCCTCCTGAAACAGAAGGGGTTAGGGCAGGCCAGTCAGAGATTACAGAGGTGAGTTCTGAGTGCAGCTGGGTGCAGGTCTCTGTCACCTGTGTCTAAGCATAGAAGCCACGCAGCCAACGACCTGGGTGACTGGGGATGTCTATGTGCTGTGAGCTCAGCTGTGTGGGCCTCGCCCGTGAAAGGTGTGGTGCTGGGGGCTGTCCCCCGCTCCTTCTCGTCTGCTCATAGAGAGCACAGGCCTGGCCCACCGTGGCCTCCAGGGGCGCAACGGGCTCTCACTGTGGCTGGGTGCCCGGGGTGGGGGGGGCCAGTGCAGAGCCCAGCGGCATGTTGGGAGGGTGGGCCTCGGTTGGGCCTCAGGGCACTTCTGGTGCAGGTTCCATTGTCTCAGTGTCCTCATGTGGCATTGTGTTCAGGACAACGCCATGGTGCTGGGCTTGATCGAGACCGTCGACACTGTCATGGGCCACATCTCTTCCAACCTGGACGCCAGCCAGCCCCAGGTCACCATCGTTGGCTCTTCTTCCATGGCAGGTACTGGTCGGCTCGGGGTGGGATGCAGCCACGGGTGCAGGTGTCGGGGCAGGGTACTCCGGAGGCCAGCTGGCCTGTGCAGTTTGCTCTGCCAACTCCGCACTCACCCATACGCGCACAAGCAGGGACATACACGTCTGCACAGGGGCGTGCACACACCTGCAGAGGTGCACACACAGTGCACGCACACACGCCCACAGGTGCGCACATGCTCACGCACAGGTGCCCACACACCAGCCCACGCCTCTGTACATACAGGGCGTAAACACACGGTCAAAGGCACACACGCGTGCAGGTGTGCACAGACACACACACAGGTGCACACACACACATAGCAGCAAACACACTATTGATTCAGACACACCTCTCTGCTTTTGTAAACTGTGTCGCCCTTACGCAAAGTCACGCTGTGGAGGGAGCGTGAGATCAGGGCCCATGTGCTCAGCCAGGATGTGGACACAAAGCTACGGGAGCATTTGATGGTGACTCGGGGGCTGGACCGATCTTGGGTGACAGTTGTCTCTGTTTGGAACGGGAGTCAAAAAGCAGCAGCTCCTTTGAGCATCTGTGGAATAAAAGGTTGCAGTATCAGGTTTCGCAGAGCCAGATGGAGGCTTGGCCTAAATCTGCTTTCCAAGATAATCGGCACAGAGTCCCACTTCCCCTGACTTCATGGCTCCGCCCTTTGAAAAGTCTTTATCTAAAGCAGCGTTGCACAGCTGATACTCTCCCACAAGAGCCAGACTCTGGGGCAGGGGCTAAACTGACCCACGGAGGTGAGTGTTAGTGGGACTGTTGGCTGAGATAGTGACCGATGGCTGGAAGGCCAGCGTCTCTGGCACCTTCTTTCTCCCATGTGTCCTGGGTGCCCCAGAGTGTGGTGAGAAGCAGCTCTGAGAGCTGACGGGCTGCCCTGAGGGAAGGAGGGGTCACCTCGGGCCACAAGGCCCCCACCATGTGTGGCCAGCTGGATGAGGCAGCTGTACAGTGGAAACGACTTCCCTGGACCCTTATTTTTTCAGGTCGTCATTGTCTAGAGGTAATTACACTGCCCAGGGGAGCTCATTCTGTTAGCAAAAGCAGAAGCAGATGGACCTTTACAGCCCAATTTCCTGCGCCTTGGAGCTTACTGACTGTGGCTTCCTGTCTTTGGCTTGTTCTCAGAGTTTTCTGTGGCCAAACTCCTGCCCGAGACCATAAATTCCTCCCACTACCGCTTCCCAGCCCAGGGGCAGAGCTACATCAAGGTTCCCCACGAGGCGTTCCGCAGCCAAGGTGAGTGCAGCTGCTGAGGCCGCCCCAGGACCTCCGGGGCCGTGCACATGCGCGGGCAGCTGCGACCCTAAAGACACACGGCCCTCACGCCTGCTCGCCTGTTCCTGCAGGAGCGGCTCTGGGCCAGCATTTCTCAGGAGCTGGTGGGGATGGGGGGTCCTGGCAAGTGCCTGAGCTGCTAACTCAGAATGCTGATTCCAAGGAAACCCCAGCCTCGTGAACTGGAATTGGGGAGGAGGGCTGGGAATCTGCATTTTGGATAGGCTCTCGAGGTGATTCAGGTCCACTGTGAAAGACACCTGTGTCCTCCCAGAGCAGCAAAGTGACATGTCAGCAGACTATGAAGAGATGGGGCCGTGCCCCCTCCCCCACCCAGGGTGGACTCAGGCTAGGTGAAGGGTGTCCACCCTGGGCTCTCCATCCCCCTCAGGTGGCTCAGGCAGCTCTGGCCATTTTTGCTGCAGGGACAGTCCCACTGGTCCCTTGAAAAGTGAATGCCCCCACTGCTCGTCCCTCGGGCTGTCGGGGGAGTCTGGGAGTCTCTGCTCCTGACAATCTGGCCAGAGGACATGCACTGCCCAGAGACTGGGGACAAAGAGCAGCCTGGGTAGTGTAGGATCACGGTGTCTCCTCCTCAGCAAGGAGGCGTCCCTTGCCACCCCGCAAGGGCCCACCTCTGCTCCCTCTACCTTCTTGTTTGCCTGTGTGGAAAGTACCTGGAGATGTCACAGGAACACCCCCCACAACACAGGGTGAACTACAGAAACGGGGGGTGTGTGGGGATGAGGCTGTGGTCTGCCAACCGCACATGTGATCTTTGCTCATCTCACACCACCCGGCTGCAGGATCTAGAACCCTCCATTCTTCATACTCAGCGGGACCACGGCCTCATGCTCTGCCCTGTGGCAGCAGAACATATTGGTAACAAGGACTGACTGGCAGCTGGAAATCCTGGGCTCCAAGCCTGGTTCAGCCGCTTACTGGCTGTGACTGAACCTGCGTGCGTTATGGTCTCCTCGTCTGTAAAATGGGGACAATATTAGTACTAGACTCACAAAATCATTTTGAGAATTGAATGAGCCAAGCCCTTCTGCCTGGCACACCGTGAGAGTGATAGGATGCTCAATATTTTCCTGAAATTTTAACTTATTCCACAAATAACCCCGAGGAACTCTGGAAGACAGCTAACCACTTCCTCCCTCAAGCGTCCTCTGCTAATAGTGGAGGGACACAACATAAAAAATGATTCCTATTTCAACGTTGTCACATAGCAGAGGTGGAATGTAGCCAAAAGGCACAAAGGACACCTTCGTGATCACCGCCACTTGTAAATCCCGCATCTGCTGCCTCGCTCACGTGTTCGTGTGACTGCAAAGACTCCATATGCCAACAGCAAACAGGACACGCTCACCCAGACTGTGCAAAACTGGAGGCTGGCTCTGTGACCACTGCTGGAACGGGGACCTTCTGCCCACAGAAACTCTAGCGTTCCTGGCGAGTCAGGCTCTCCTCGGGAGCAGCAGCATCTGTGTATCTAGAGTCGGCTCAGGGGAGGATCAGGCAGTCATTGCCACGGTTAAATCCACAGCTGAAGGGTCACAGAGTTTCTACTCAGGCTCATGCAAAATTCCACCCCTGAGAGTCCCTCACTTTCTCCCCCCCCACCCGCCCCTGGATTTGGGTGTGAGGGCTGGCACTGTGCATTGCTGGGCAAGCGTGTTTGGCTGGGCGCTCTGCCACTGGCAGGCTGACAGGTGTCTGTGATCCTCTGCTTTTCCGCAGCCTGGACCACCATCGTGGGCCTTCTCTACCACAGGATGCATGATTACTTGGACAACATCCAGCCAGCCAAGACCAAGTGAGTGTCCCAGGTCCCAGGACAGGGAGAGGGCAGTGGGCGGCTGACCGCTCAAACACCCCTGCCTCCGGGTCAGCACAGGCATGCAGGACCAGAAGGGACTCACAATGCCAATGCCTGGGGCTTTGCTATTAGATCCAGAAAGGGGACACAGGACCTCAGATGCTGGGGGTTCAGTGGCACTGGGCATGTAGGCTGACAGTCCAGTAGTCAGGTGACCACAGCTGCCCGGTACTCCCTGTGCAGTGGTGGATGCGTGCCTTCACGGCCTGAGCTTTGGTTGCCACTTGTGGAAGTGGGGGACAACAGCACACACCTGTGTTAGTCAGGGCTGGTTGGGTGACTGGGCTTGGGTGGTGGGCGGGGAGGCTGGGTCCTCGGGGGATGAGGAAGGCTTCAGGCACGGCTGGACCCAGGAGCCCAGGGGAGGCCTCCTGCCCTGGTCGCTCTGTCTCCTGTCTGGGCCTTCCTCTGTGCTGGCTCTTTTCCAGGCAGGCCCCTCCCTAGGGGCATGGCTTTCTACCCCACGGCTTTGGGTCCTCAGGTCTCAGAAGGACAGCAGCTGCGGTCCCTAATGTGTGCATGGAAACTCAGGGAGGGCTGTGATTGGCCCGTTTGGGTCCTGTATCCATCCTGGCGCCCTCCAATCAATGGCCAGAGCGTCCTGCTCTGTCATTGGCCAGATCTGCTCACATGGCTCTGTGGAAATTCAGGGAAAGCTGTGATTGGCTCTTTTGGGTCATGTGCCTGTCATGGTGGCCGGACTGCCCTGTTCTCTTGCTGCCGGAGTCTCTTCACGTGGCCCTTTCGGCCTGGCGGTGGGTCAGCCCACCTAGACGCAGGGAGGAGCTTGTTCCTCGGAGGGCAGTGTCGGGGAGGCTCCGCTCCTCCTCTCATGGGGCCCCGCTCCCCTCCCCTGCACGTGCCCTCTCCTGGCCCTGGGGCGGGCGGCCGATGCTGGCGCTGCGGCCCGGTGTGCCGACCCCTCGGTGACCGGGAGCGGCCGCTGTTGGAGCCACCGCCGGACAAAGGATGCGGGACGAATACCGGGAACCGTGCCGCCCCCGCCGCCTGGATGTCCGCAGCCTTTGGGGAGACGGTGGGGTCGGGGACACGACAGCCCCGACTTGGCTGTAGACCCGGGGCCGCCGGTCCTGGGAAAGCCTAGGCGTTGGCCGGTTTCCTTACAGCTAGGGACGGGGACCGGCCCCTCGTGTGTGTGGTTTCTGGAGCTCCTCAGGAGACCTGTCAGAGCGGAGGCCCGTCGCCTTTCCTCAGAAAGATGCCTTCTCAGGTGTTTCGGGGATAGTTTCCAAATCCAAGATTACGAGGGAAAGCGGACTCCTCCTGCCCAGCTTACCGACCTGCAGCTCTCCCGCCCAGCGGTCAGGCTGAAGCTGACCTGTGGGAGGGATGCTTGAAATGTCTGTTTACCAGGCACGGCTGGGCCTGTCTGCGGCGGTCCGAGCGCAGGGAGAACCGGGTTCGTTTCACCCTCCCAGTCTCCCTTCCGCCTCCAGCTGGGAGAGGAAAGGGGAAGTGGAATTGCTGTTTACTGACCGCCACGTGTGCCCGCATTTTGGGACAATTCGCTGTGACCGAGTAGAATCGTAACTCTCGCCAGCTGCTGACAAACTTTTCCATAAAGGACCAGATAGTAAATATTTCGGCCTTTATGGGCCATAAGGCCTCTGTCACAACTAGTGAGTCTGCCGTGGAAGCCGGGAAGCAACCTCAGACGACCCGTGACGGAATGGGCATGGCTGTGTGCCCGTAGAACTTTACAGGACCAGGCAGCCCCACAGGCCCGCGTTTGGCACTCCTGCCACACACGCCGTTACGTCAGTGCCAGCTGCGGTGGATGGGGGGTGAGGCTGAGTTTGTCCTGCTTCCTGGAGTCAGAGGATGTGCTTGAAGCCTGGCGGATGGGACATTCTTCCGCCTCAGGGCCTTAACCTTACCTCCCTGCTGTCCTCACTGCCCCCAGGAGAGCACAGGGAGGACTCTCGGGAGCCGCAGATCCCGTGCTGTGTGATCCAGAAAACCGTGGTCAGCCCCTCTTGTCCCTGCAAGCTGTGGGCTCTGAGATTCGCACAGGCAGATCCTGGCCCCTCCCGGCCCTCTACCTGTTAGCATTGACACCTGGGGACCACTCGCACCCTCGTCAGCAGCAAATGCATGTCAGTTGGCTTCCTGAAGTCAAATTTTTTTGCCACGATGAGAACATATCTTTCCTGTGTGGAATCTTCAGCTTGGGTGGAATTTTAAGGGCAGCACCGAATGCAAAGGTGTCTTATTGTCAAAATTAACCTTGAAAAAAAAATCATCCAAATAGTTCATCAGGCACAGTCCCTGTATTTGTCGTGTTCTCTCCTGTGGCACCAGAGTGGGACAGAAGGTGACCACCAGTGTTGTAGTTAGCAGTGCAGAATTGGGTGCTGGGCGCCTGGCTCTGTCCTCCCCATGGCGCCCTTGTTGGTGGTGTGGGTGCTGGGCAATGCCTGGTGGTCGTTGGATGTGTGCTCCCTTCTAGAATAATGCTGATGACAGTACTGATGGGTGAGGCTGCTGTGAGCGCAATGTCAGCTGTTTAAACAAAGCTTGGTGCTCTTAACGTGACCTGTAAGTGCTTCCCCTTATCACCTCCCAAGATGATTGGACGTTCTCGCCATATTGACTGTAAAGTGATAGTCACATTCCACACGCAGTTCGGAGTAGATGGGTAGAGTAAGCAGAAAGCGCTCTGGTGATCCTGCTTGCGACACAGCGGAGTCCCTTCCCTTCATTATCAGGCACTGTGGCCTACAGACATGTATGGTTTTCGTAAGAATGAAGGGTGCTGTGGGATTGTAGTGTCCTCTCAATCCCCTTTTGGGGCGGGTTGGAGTCAGCACATGAGTTTAGTGTGTGAAGATGGGGGTGAGGCTGGGATGGGGTCTCCCATCTTCCCAGCCAAGCCCTGGGTGGGCCACTCCTGAGGACCCAGGCAGCCACTGCTGGAAGCAGAATCTGAGTGTCCACAGGTCCTGGGGGGACACTTAGCTGGTCCCTGCTGTGCCACCTGTGTGCAGATGGTCTCACCTGCCTAGTCACAATGAGGACTGCTAGGCTCTTAGTGTGAGCTGTGCCTGGCTAGCAGCCAGGACAGGCTTTTCCTTAGAGTGGGGCCAGGAATCCGAGCTGGGCAGGGAGTCTTGAGTCACCCAGTTCCACTATCCCACCGCAGATGGGGCCCCGGGCCCAGAGAGCAGATGGGACTTCCAGGCTGCCAGCCGGCAGAGGCAGGGCCGTGACTCGGGTCTCTGGGTTCCATGTCTTATTAACAGACACACGTGCTTCCGATGGAGAAGTTCCTGGAGGGTCTGGCAGCTGACAAGTGTCCACACTTGTTCTTTGTAGAGTAATGCCAACCAATCAATGCAGAAGGAAAGACAACATTGGAAAGACACCATCTTGGAGCCCTAAGTGTAGTTACTGATCAGGGCGAAAGTCATCAGTGGGTGTAGACACCACTGGGTGAGCGGTATTTGGAGAACAATCATTATTATTATTTTTTTAAGATTTTTATTTGACAGAGAGAGACAGCAAGAGAGGGAACACAAGCAGGGGGAGTGGAAGAGGGAGAAGAAGGCTTCCCGCTGAGCAGGGAGCTGAATGCGGGGCTTGAGGGGCCCATCCCAGGACTCTGGGACCATGACCTGAGCCGAAGGCAGATGCTTAATGACTGAGCCACCCAGGCACCCAGACAGAGTTATTGTTAAATTTACATAGTGAGCAGGGCACCTGGGAATAGAGATAACTAGCCCACACCACTTCAGCCAGCAGGTCACTTTCGATGTCAACAGTGGGATGTGATACCCTGTGTCCCCTGAGGTGACATGATGGGAAGGAGTGAATGTGGCCCATGGAGTGGTCCTGCCCCAGGTGCTCGGCCTGGAGCTCCTCCTGGGGACACAGCCCATCTATAGTAGGGGCCGTTTTGCAAACTGTGGCTGGTGCTGCTGTATGTCCGTGGCAGGAAGGAGAGAGAGCCGTGGGGACTATTCCAGAACTCAGGGGCCTGCGGGGATGTGCTCCTGAGCAGAGGCACTGTCCTCCTTGGGACCACGCTGAGCTCTGAGGCACAAGGCGGGGACCACGGAGGCGGTGTCAAGTTTGCGAGGGTGATGACTAGGCCGTGGTATGCTGGGGGCTGTCTTCAGGTTTGGAAGGTCCTTGCTAAAGTGTGGTGGGGGGGGGAGTGTCCTGCCGTGCTTCCTCGTGCTTCCTCTTCGGAAGGAAGAAGAGTGTGTGTGAGCCTGCCAGGTGCGGCAGACGTGAGAGAATGGTAGGGGGTGTGGATCTAGGTGAAGAGAAAGTGTTCATGGTCCTCTTTCTAGCAAATCGTCTGTAGGCTTGAGGTTCATTATTAGGTAAAAGTAGTCGAGGGAAGAAGAGTGTTGCACACGCAGCGCCCCGAGACGTGGGTGGGTGTTATGAAGACAAGCCGTGTGGGTGCAAACACAGGCAGGGAGCAGACTCCTCCAGCAGGCTTGGGGGAGTGGGTGGGGGACAGGCAAGGTCCCAATCAGACAAGACAGCAGCAGAGGGCTGGGTGGCCCAGCGGGGGCGGGGGGCGGGCAGTGACTCCGCATTGAGGGCCTTTGAGGGCAACTTCCCTAAATCGAAATTCACGCCAACGGACATATGCTGTGTTGGGCAGGGCTGACACTAAGGAGGCACCGAGGGTGCAACTTCGGATAGGTGCTCATTCCTGGAGTCATACAAGTGCCACATGTGTGTGCTGGGCCCTGAGTGTGGGCACCTCCTTAAATCCTGCACCACGGGCTTCTTATCTTGCTCCTGCCTTGGCTCGGAATATCACCTCGTAATTTAACCTCGTAACTCCATGAGACAAGTACCATATATATCAGGCAGGAGTCTTTGGATTGGGCTGTAAGTGTCCAAAAACATGGCTTAACCTGTCTCAAGTAAGAGGGTACTTGGATCATGGAAGCTGAAGGGCACACAGGTCGATTGGCTTCAGGAGCAGCTTGATCCAGCATCCAGATGACGTCACTCAGCTCTAGTTCTTCTCTTCCTTGGGTGGTGGCGGGGGGCTCGCTTCCCAGTTCATCTCTGCACTCATGTTTATAAGCCACTGCCAGGGCCTCCTCCTCCTGGGCAGACAAGTAGTAGAGAGAAGCGAGGGTCTCTGACCCAACATTTTCCCTCTGAATCTTGTTGCATCTCCTTGGATTTCCTGGATCATGCCCTCACCTCTGAACAGTCCCTGTGACCTGAGGGAGGCAGTGGACTGAGTGGTTGAGGCCTGGACAGCAGGGCTTACTCCTGAGCCGAGGTTGGAGTCAACAGCAGAGCACATAGTCTGGAGATGGGGAGGGAGGCAGCTGCCTGGAGGCAACTGAGGGCCTTTCTCCGGAGAACGAACCCCCATCAGACAGGGGAACCACAGGCACTCACTGCACTACCATCTCTCACACCGTTTTGTAAGCAGGGAGGTTGAAGTTCAGACGGGGTAAGTCACTTACCCCAAGTCACAGCGGCTTCCTGCCCTAGAGAGCAGCGCGGACCGAATGAGGCCAATCCAACTTCCATCCCAGGAAGATTTCAGAATCGAAAATTTCAGCCTTAACATTAAGTTCTCAGCGCAGGTGTTATGGCTGCGTGCCCTTCCCCTTTCCCCCTTTTGTAACGATTTCTCATTTATTTCCAAGGATTGCGGAGGCAGCAAATTACAAAAGGCACACGCTGTTTGCGGCCAGCTACCTGATTTCTCTGGAGGTGTCCCCGCCACCCGTGCTGTCCCAGAACCTGTCAGGCTCGCCGCTCGTCACGGTGCAGCTCAGGCACAGACTGGTGAGTTAACGTGGCCTCGCCGTCACTTGCGTTCTTTGGTCGTGCGTCGAGGACATCGTGGAGTCTCTGGGGCTGGAGAAAGTCTCATAGGACATGCGTGTTCCCTGGAGTTCCTCTCCAGGACATGGTTTTCGCACGGCAGTGGGACGAGGCTGACGTTGGAGAAAAAGGCTTCACAGGCGTGTGTGTGCGTGGCGTTTCTGGCTGGTGGTAAGTGTCCTTCTTGGCGGAGGGGTGCAGTGGGCAGCTGTCACTCGTCTTGATGGTTGCCCTTAGCAGCATGTAGTGCTCTGTCCTCCGTGAAGCATGCTCTGGGGCCAAGGGTGGGCCATTTCTCCGTTGTCCTGAGGGGTGAGTTCCTGGTCCTGCCAGGTCATCACTGGAATTCTGTCCACATTTGCTTTGTCGTTGTCCGCGGGTAAAAATGACAAGTGTCCGGGGACATGGATGTGCTCTGTCCTTCCAACAACACCCAGCTTCTCCCGTGCCAGGATATGTCCCCAGATACAGTGTTGATTCAACACCCAAACAGGCTTTTCAAGGCCTTTCTTTAAGAACTCACTGTGGTTTGGGTCATTTGGAGTCACGCTAAAGACATTTCCCTCCAGGATTTTTGACTTTGTTCTACTCCATCTTGTCCCACCTCATTCCACCAGCAGTAACTGAAGACCTACTGTGTGCCGGCCACTGTGTTCTGGGCCCCTCTCATCTGTCCACATGGAAGGGTATTTTCATTCCCTCTGTCTGCACAGCCCTTTCCCACCCACCTGCACACAGTCCTGGCCTCAGAATGCCCCGGCACCCAGACTCTCTCTTTTTAAAAAATTAAAAAAAAAATCACAAAACATGTAAACAGTTTTAAATTGTGGTAAAATATACATAACGTAAGGTTTGCCATCTTAACCATGTGTAAGTGTGCAGTCCTGTGTCACAAAGCACATTCATACCTCTGTCCGTCCCTGGACTCGGTCATCTTCCCAAACTGCTGCTCTGCCCGCAGCCCCCGCACCCACTGTCTGCTCTCTGTCACCCCGAAGCTGACTGCTCTGGGGAACTCACTCAAGTGGGACCCTCCAGTGCTTATCCTTGTGCTTCTGGCTTATATCCCTCGGCGCCACGTCCTTGGGGTCCATCCAGGTGGTAGCACGTGTCAGGATTGCCTCCTTGGAAGGCTGAGTAATGTCCCGTTCTCATGCACATAAAATATGCCCTTTCTGGGCCCATCTGCCCATCTGTGGACACTGGGCTGCTCCCCCTACTGTCCGCAAGGCTGCCTGGTGTGCGCTCTCTCTCCCAGGCCCTGCTTTCAGTCCTGTGGGTGTGTGCCCAGCGGCGGCGCTGCCGGGTCACAGTCCTAGAGCGACACTGGGCCCCCTCCCTCTTCACACAGAAGCCACCCTTCTGACTGCAAAAACGTTCTCGGAAGGCCCAGAGATCTCTGGCCCACCAAGTGTCCTGTCTCCAACGTGTAGACACATTGGGCTCCATTGACACCCATGTCTCTCAGCCCCCTGTCCCCACCTCTCTGGTTCCCAGGACATGTTCCTCTTGGGGGGCCACCCCTGTACCCCGCAGCATCTCCTCCTCTAACTGCCTGAGCAGGTGTCCCAGTAATGTGACCGCATAACTGTTTACTTCTCTGAATTCATGGAAATTCTGAGATGTCAATGTCACCAAATACTGATGTCACTGAGGACCCAAACGCACAGCGGCCTTGGCATGAAGCCCCTGTTCGCGCAGCTTTCCCATCTCCAGGTGCCCCGCAGGCCGAGTTTCCCCCAGGCCTATCCATCTTCTGGGCTCCCAGTTCCCACCCCGGTTATCACCGGGTCTGAATCCAGAGCCTGAACTCCCTTTGTGTTGGAACCTTGGGGCCATCCTGGGTGCCTGTCTGTAGGCACCACGCACGACCCACTGTGACCCCTGGTCCAGAGCCCTCATTCTTCTCAGTTCTGCTGGGCCAGGAGCTTCCTGACCACGCCCCCTGCTTTAGCACCTCCACTTCCAGAAGCTCGGACCAGGTGACCCCGCTCACCCACGGAGTCTTCCAATTTCCCCAAAGAAGAGTCTCAACTCTGAGCCTCAGGAGCCAATCTCTGGGCGAGCTTTCCCCCCAGCCTTCCGTGGGAGCCCCTCCCTCCAGCCAGGTTGGAGCGCTGGCTGGCTGTGTCAGGGAGCGCCCTCTCCCTGTCTCCCGACCCCCGTGAGCGCCCCTCTGTGCTCCCAGCGCCACGATGGGTGACTGTGTGGCCCTACCGTGTCGCTGGCCCATGGGTTCTTGAGCGGCTGCCCTGGGCCCATTTGGGACCCCCGAGGCCTTCCTGGTGGTGCGTGGCAGTGAGCTTGGGTGCAGGGCGGCGCTCGGCAGCTGCAGCTGGGTGAAAGCCGGAGGCCCCGGGGAGCAGCCTTGTCCTCGAGCTGTGCTGGCGTCTGTGTGCGGTCGTGCGTTTTTTCCATGGCGGGATGCTCGCCCCTGGGCCAGAGGTCCTCGCTGGCCACCACCGTGTGGCAGGGTGGCCTCAGAGGCCGTGGAGTTTGGTCTGGTGCGAGGTCGAGATGTGTTGGTGCTTCTGTGTTGAGGGCATTACCCTGTGGCCCGGCCAGAGTGCGAGTCTCTAGTCAAGTGTATGTAAACGTAGAGAAACCTTCTTTTGAGAGACTCTGGAACCTTCGTGTGTTTGAGGTTGAGGCAGGGCAGGGCGGCGGGCTCGGAGGCTCGGGTGTGTGGTGACCGGGAGGCCCTTCCAGAGCTGGATTGGGAGGAGAGCAGCGTGGAAATGTTGGTGCCGTGAGCGTCTACAGTGTGGAACCCTCATGGGGGAGCATGAAGGTGTGTCAGTCCTGTGGGAAGCTCATCTATGGACATGTCCAGTTGTGCTCCACAGATCTCGGCTCTGTGACATTGGCCGAGCGAGCAGCCTCTGTGTGTCTCCAGCTCGTGAGGTGCGAGAGCAAACACGGGGCTGACAACCCGCACCCATGGGGCCGGTGAGCTTTCTTGTCTGCCACCGGACTTCCGTGCAGACACAGAAGCCAGTCTTGGCTAACGTTAGCAGAGGGACTTTTCCGGAGGGACAGCTCGTAGCTCGTGGGGTAGGGGTGGGGGACTCAGCCCAGAGGCCCTGCGCTGGGTTTGTCACTTTGGCCCGTGAGGTGAGCCGGTGCGGGCCGTGCTCTGTGTCGGTGTCCGCAGGAGGGGGAGCGAGAGGCTGTGGCCCAAAGGTGGCCGGGAAGCAGGTGTCCCTCCCCCAGGGGCACACATGTGGTGTAGTGTCAGTCCGGGAGGCCCATGCACAGCGCTAGTGCCTGTGTGCACTTGGCCACTGCCCTCTCCGAATGCAGAGACGTGCCTGTGCATGTTGTGGAACACACTCTTGGAGCGTGACAGAGTCCAGTGTCCAGTGAGCAAAGCTTCCAGTGTCTTAAAAACAAGGACGAGCGTTTTTCCGAGGCCAGGTGAGGACCCTGCCCAGGACGGCGATCTGCACCGACGAGAGCGTACAGGAGGAACGTGGAACACGGACCCGCGTGTGCTTCCGTGGTGTCAGCGGTGACAGATCACAGTGACTGAGGACGTTCCAGAAAATGACACACTTGACCTTGTGCTTTTAGCACCTGCAGATTTGCCGGCTTCGGAGGGATGGGCACTCGTGAGGTTTTTACTCTTATCTTCAGTTTGACGAGCTTCTCGCTGGCTCTTTGCTCACGGCGCAGAGGGACCGCGTGTGCCCGTGGCAGAGACAGGGCCCTGCTCTGAAGGTGGGGAGCCCCCCGACCGCAGCTGCAGCATCGCCTCCTGGGGTGGGGGGCGCGCAGGCACAGGGCCCGGCAGTGGGAACCTCGACGGTTTCCTCTGCTAGGAGCCGCCAGACTCCCCTCCGAGGGTCAGAGACACCCCAGGCTCATGGACAGAGGCGGTGTCCCTGAGCCTGGGGCTCCAGGCACCTTTAGGATCTGGGACCTCCCGGCACGCGGCCGTGAGCGTGAGAACGTGGCGCTGGGCCTGGCTCAGTCCCTCCATCAGCGGCGCGGGATTTGGCTTCTTCGGGGTTTGCCGCAACTTGGGATCTGGGGAAGAGAAGCCATAGGCCTGGCTTTCCAGTGACATCTCCGCCTTTGTGGTGTCGGCAGCCAATTCACATTCGCCTTTAACCTCGTCAGGCGAAATGTTCCTGTGTGTCCGGCCAGTACTTGCCCCTCATAAGCTCTATTTTGTCCAGAGCTTCGTGTTTGAAGTGGCTTTAAGTGTACAGAAAAATTGCCGACAGCGGAGTTCGTGGGGACCTAATGCTGCTGTTTTAAAGTAATCACGGAAGCCTGGAAACAGGCGGGGATGTTCCCGCGCTGCAGACGGGCTTCGGATGGCCTCAGTTTGCCTGCTTACGGCTTTTTTCTGTGGAGGATCTGGCTCTCGAGAGCTCCTCCAGCCCGTGGTGGATCTTCTGTTTGTCTTTGTGACCCGCTTGCTTTGCGGCATTGCCTCGCTTTGGGACAGTCTGATGTCTTCTCGGGATTAGGTTGCATCTTTGACAAGGAAGCCGCAGAAGTAAAACCAGACCATTACTATGTCTCCTGAGGCCGTATCAGTTTCCCGCGGCGTCCGTAATGGGGGGCTGAGAGCGTGGGGGTGTTTGCTCCTCCTGGGTCTGGAGGCGCGGGGTCCCAGTCTAGGTGCCACACAGGTCCCATCCCCAGTGGTGGGCTGGCCCCTCCCCAGCCGCAACCCCCCCACCCCCGGGCTGCAGGCACCGTCTTCCCTCCACGTCCTCAGGGATCCTGCCCCGTGCATGTGTGTCTGCGTCCCGCTCCGCTCTCCACGGGGACTCAGTCCTGTGGGACAGGCCGGTCTGGGGAACCCCGCTTCACCTGTCCCCCTGCATACACAGTCACATCCATGGTATGGGGGCCGGAGTGGGGGCCAGTTCAGCCCGTGACACAGGCAGCACAAGTCGCCGTTCTTTCTGGTGATGGTCACTGTCCCTGCTTGGCCGAGGTGGGGC